ACATTAACTTAATAAACAGTTAACAGTGTTACTAAACTTTTTCTGATACCGTTTATATTGTCAACGGTAAGTAAATTAATGTTAACGTTAATAGGATTAGTAAAAATCAACAATAAAGAAATTAATGTTACCGTTTTCTATTTATTAAGTCAAAATATGTAATTAATGATTATTATCATTTTTATTTACTTTTTTCTTATGGTGTCAGTTTTAACATGTCTCAGACTAATTCTCCGAACACTTCAAGATCTTACATGTCGAAGATGATGAGACTCAATATGAGTCGTTTTGGATATGGAAGTCCAGGGAACCAAAAAGATCAAAGAGACCCACATCCTCCTTCATGAGCCAATGGTTCTTTGAGCCGTAGTGGATCGGCTATGTTGATGTGTCGGTTGGGATGTGTCCCTAGTCCTAGGAGAGTTGTCGAGCCGAGAGTGGATCATAGCACTGATGTTAATCATATATATGGAACCAGTGTCGGAAATCAATACTGATGAAGAAATTCAAGAAGCCCAGAAAGATGGCAATCATGCAGAATCATTGCCGACTTTAGGAACTAAAGACGATGATGATAATCAAGATGACCCAAACGGAGATTCTACAATCCAGAATGAAATGTTGAATTTACCCTCAGTCATTTCTCAACTCTAAGGTTCAATTATAGTCTTAACTACGGCTATAACAAAGAATTTTGCAAAAGTAACACACAAAATTTTACTTCTAAATAATATTGTTGTGTATATTAATAGTTGTTAAAACAAGATCCGTTGGAGAAGCTCATAAAGGACATAGACGAATTGTCGAAACTGATTCTTGTAATTGCAAGTTTGTCGTCGGTGTCGACCAGTTTCACGTCTCTTGGGGGACTCGACTCAACTGGACATTCCGGTTCAAAGACACATTACTCTTTCGAATGTATCATGTATTTTTCCATGTCTGACATTCGCAATGTCGATTGCCAACATGCGCCTCCTCCACAAACCTTTGGATGAGCCAAAAAAAAAAGGCATTGAAGGGGTTGAGGAAGAGGATGAAAGTAGCAGGAACTTTGTTGTGGGTCGCTATCGTTTTCTTTTTCATAGCTTACGTGCTCGGTTTTTGAATCGTGTACCTTGGCGAAAACCTTGTTGATCCCGTAATGCTTAGAGCCAATAGCTGGTCTAGGTGGTTTACTCTAGGTTTAGTTGTCCTTAAAGTGGCTTCGAGTTTTTGGCGATCGTGTATGGTCCTAATTTTTTTTTTAGTTGTTTATTCCTAATAAATGTTGTGTTTTATTGTCTTGTTATTTGTTGTCGAGTTTTTTGTAAGGAATTGCTTGAAAAGATTCAGCAAAACATGTTTGATGTAGCTAAGCAAAAGATAAATGCTGATTGTGCAACTGTAAAGACTTGGGATGAATTTGTTGAATCACATAACGAGAAGAAACTCATTTTGGCTCTTTTGTGCGACGAAGAGGTAATGTCACAAAGACCGTACATTTTCGCAACAAAGGCCAGCCTTTACAAAAGTATTCATTTCATTATACGAAATGCAATGAGACAGATAAAAATTTGATGGTTCTTCCAAGTAAAGATAGTTCTTTTCATGTATAAATAGATAATTGTTGGAAAAATCAATTGTTGAAAAAATTGATGGTTCTTCTGATTTGAGATCTTATTTATAGATTTTGAAATACTAGTATGCGATAAGAAAATGGATATGAACCGATGTGATATCAAGAAGATAGGTTTTATTGACAAATATCTTAAAAATTTGGACATATGATATTGTATAATACAAAAAATAAAATTCATGATGTGTGTGTTTCAACTTTCATATTTTGATTCCTTTTCAATGCTGAACAATTTTTTTTTTTTTGTATATTTTGTCAACGGACAATTTTTTATTTTATATTGATAAAAGCACTAATTTATTTTTCACCATGTTAGAACATCATTAATGGTGATATTTTAAGAGTGTTTTAAAGTGTAAATATGATTAAAAATTATTTATCGAAGTGAACTTTCTTAAAGTGTCTATGAAAAAGTTAATTGGGACGAACTTATTGAACCTTTTTCTTAGGATGTCAAACTTAATTTAATTTTTAAAAATTACTTAAAACATTCTTAAAGTGTTACTATTAAGAATGCTCTTATGTTTTTATTTCACATGAAGGATATTTTGGTCAAATCCACGTGATGCTAGTTGTTAAGTCTTTTTACATTTGTTGAAAGAAAAGTAGTACTTGTAATTGTTAAAGTCACCTAGCAAAATTATTACCTTGGAAATTAGCAATCGCATGCATGATCATCAGTCGGCAAGACGGCAAGTTCTGAAAATAGAAATAAATATTCTGTTCGTGTTTTGAATTTTTTTTTTTAATAAAAATTAATATTTTAGATTATTAAATAATATTTTCTGTAAATTTTAAAAAATATTAATTAAAAATATTTAAATTTTAAATTACTATTGGTTAATATATATTGAAAAATAGTTAATTTAAAAAATAATACATTAATAATTTATAACTAATTATTTTTTAATGTGTGAAAAAGCCAAAACACCCATTTTTATGAGACAGAGGAAATAATATATAGAATGCAATAAAGAAGATATTTTGCAGAAAGTAGCACTAAATTTTGCGAAGAACATTGCATTCGATTGGCCAAGTCCACTTTTATGGAATTATAGTATATATTTATGTTTGATATTTTCACCAAAATTGGTAATTTGGTATTGACTTTTGATGACTTAATAGTAACTAGATAAACTAGATGATATCATATGCACATAAATTTAGATCACACATTTAGTCATTTTAATGACAAACTAAATGCGTGATTAATGCTGATGTAAAAGAAAAATCGCGTTATTACTTCACAGATCCGATTTGATTTTGGTACCTGTGACAACCTACATTAAAATGTACTATGGTCAATTGTAAATTATTTTTAAGATTTTAAACATGTTGACGTTTGACCCCAAAAAAAAAACATGTTGACCAAAAAAATTCTATTACACCACAATTTAGATGATTCCATGGATTTTATCCGTCCACTGTTTAAATGTACAAAAAAATCATTAAAGAACTCATAAATATATATGATCAAACGCCACATTATAGTCAATTTCTTTTCGTTAACTAATTTTCTAAAACAAAAAGGCGAAACTTTGACCTAACCACAATATGTTTCTAAGAATAAATAATGCGTATTATTGCATTAGGGACAAGTATTAAAAACAAAACAAAAAGATGAAAGGAGACGTAATAGACGGCTAATAAATAAATTAGTGGGTCTTAATTTACTAATTAGGGGATGCGTCGTAGAGGATTACTTCCGTTGGATCTCAAAACATGGACCTACTACACTACCGACACTTCTCTGACTCAGGCTTGGACTCCGAACACAAGACTTCGAATCTTAAATTTAATTTTCTTAGATTTCTTCTTTTTTTTTTTTTAAAATAAAACAATTCCCTCCAACTATCAGATCCAACGGCTGATATCAAACTAAAACCTTTA